CTCCTTCTCTAACATCAATAAACTATATACAATATGAACAATTATCAGGTAAGAATTACATTCATAATGTCCAGTCCATTTGTATTTGGCAATTTTGTGGAAAGTACTCTATTATCTATCCTTTCTCAGTGAGACCAAAGTGTTGTGCCTAAATCACTTTCTATCATAACTTGTGCTACCAACCTAAAAATACCTTTTAGACCTCAAAACATTTTTCTTGATAAGCAACTTAAGCTTTTATGTCTCTCAACCTTTATAAACTTTACATCTCTTCTGAATTTGGTAACAAGGAAACTGTAAAACTATAACTATCTGGTAATCTTCAACCCCGTCAGAGACCTGAGAAGGAGAAAATTTTACCTGAGTAAATAGGAAGTGGAGAGGAAGCAACTTCCAAAACTACAGAAATGACAGAGACAGGTAGCTTCCTGAACAGCCACCCAAATTTCTTCTGTAATGTTGGAGCATCCATCTTCAGCCTACAGGCCTAGAATATCTGTGAAGCAGGAATTTTGAAGGACTGTTTTACCTTGTCTGGCAAAGTCCAGCAGTTGCCTCCTTTTGTGCCCTGTCTGTCCAATTTGGACAGCATATTGTCAGCCAAGGTAAAGGAAGTTTCTTGCCCAGTATCTAGCTTTGCCGCCTTTGAAGCAAACTCCATATGGAGGTTATTCATTGCCCATCATCTTTAAGTATATTGGTGCTGCCAGGAGCAGACATGTCTCACTGTCATGAAAAGCCTTATATTATTAATACATCTTAAATGCCATATTCTGTAGATCTCCGAAGGGTTTTGAAGACCACCTATCTATCTAGAATATATCTCTGTTTAACCTTAAAGTTATGCCTAACATGACTACAAGTTTGAGTGTTATAGGTGACTAGCTACTACTAGTCTGCTATTTTTTAATTCTCCTAAATGGTTTGTAATAGGAGATTTCAAGGTCTAGAACTTTACATTACATTTTTAAATGTACCTGCATAGGTACAATACTTTAAACAAGAGTAGAAATATATATTTATGCAGTATGTTGTAACAAAAATAACCTCAAATTTGTATCAATATACAAAAATCCATAACAATGTAAAATATTTGAAACTAATAGTTGCTTTTCAGTTTAAAAGTAGATTCGATAATCTACCCTTTTATACTATCATTCCTAATGCTTCTAACAAAGCCACACATACCCCAAGGTCACACTTCCTAATAGTGTCACTCTCTATGAATCTATGGGCATCATTTCCATTCAGATCACCACAGTGTGGGAAATAATAGGAAAAACAAGCTGCTGCACTTCTAAAAATATTATAACAGATTGATTTATCAGAAACAGGAAACTGAAAAGTAGTCCAAAAATATCATTAAAAATTTTGTATTTAGTATAAGAGCCTGGTGGTGGTGGCATGCCTTTGATCTCACAAGGGAGGCAGAAGCAGAAGGATCTATGTGAGTTCGAGGCCAGCCTGGTCCACACAGCAAGTTTCAGGACAGTCAAAGCTATACAGAGAAACCCTGCCTTGAAAAACAAACAACCCATCCGCCCCCCCCAAACAAAACCCAACCAACCAAAAAAACAAAAAACCAGCAAATGCTGTCAAGGTATTGAGAAGGTGTCATTCTACACTGTTGTTTGGAATGTTAATGAATACAGAAAATCCGTAGAGACCCCAACCTCCAAATTAAAAGTTGATCTATAATGCTATGAGCTCCTGAATATAATCACAGAGTGGAGGTACTTGCATATCTATACTTACGGATGCACTATGCATAATATTCAAGGTACTAAATCAATCTAGATGTCCATCAACAGATGATTCGATAAAAAGAAATGTGATACATATGTACAACAGAATTTGGTTTAGCCATTAAGAAGAATGAAATTAATTTAAAGGTTATAATGCTAAACCAGACTCAAAAAGATGTATCACATGTTTTCTCTTGTAAATGGAGACCAGGTTTAAAAAGAAAATGAGGCATCTGGGAGATGGTGGGTAAAGGCACTTGCCATGAAAATCTGGCAGCCTGCGAGTAGTGTTTTGAGTGAGAATGTCCCCCTTAGGCTCCTGTGTTTGAAGACTTGGTCCACAGTTGGGGAGCTGTTTGGGGAGGTTGAGGCCCTTGCTGAAGGAGTTGTATCGCGAGGGCTGGCTTTGAGAGTTTTCAAGGTATTTGCAGTTGCTCCCTGTGCTTTGGAGTTGTGCTGCTCAAGATGTGAGTGGTAACTTCTGTCTCAGTCTGCTTCCGGCCATGTGGTCCGCATAGCCGAGGACGCTGAAGCTCTGCAGCCATCAAACCTGAACGAACTCTTCTGTAAGTTGCCCGGGTCATGGTGTTTATCAGAGCAGCAGAGAAGAAACCAGTACAGAATGTTTGATCTCTGGAACTCACGTGAAAATAGCAGCTGGGACGCAGAGCAAATTTCTGGGTTTGAGACTAGCCTGATATGCACAGTGAGTTAGGACAGCCAGAGCTAAAATGAGACTTTCTCAACAGATAGAGAGAGAGAAAGAGAGAGACAGAGAGAGAGAAAGAGAGAGAGAGAGAGAGAGGAAGAAAATAGAAAAAGAATAGTACCAGTGGGAGTGAGAAAGGACTGACATAAAAGGGTAATGGGACGAACATGATCATATTTGATATACATGCATACACATTTGAAAATACCATTATAAAAAAGAAAATGCCATTATAAAACTTATTGTTCTGTGCAATGAGTATATGCTAATTTAATTAATACATTAAAAATATAATATGAGACTTGAAAATAGACGACTGGAAAGAGAAAGGAGAACAACAGGAGGGGTGAGGTAATAGAGGGCAGTAGGGAAGGTGGGTATGATCAAGTGGGTTTTACACTTGTGTGAACGTGTTCTAATCTGTTATTTTGTACAATTGACGTGCATTAAGAATAAAAAAAGTTTGTGTGTTCATAAAATTACTTCTTGGAAGTGATAGAAGCAATGACTCCAGAGGGTGGATATGTAGCCAAATGATGGGATACTTGACAAGTATACTCAGTGCCTTGGGTTTGATCCTAGTACCAAAGAAAGCAAAAATTCATCTGTATACATACCCATAGAGACACACATATGCACATATCAAATCAGGCCTGTAATCCTAGTTACTTGAGAGGCTGAGGCAGGAAGATCAAAAGTTTGAGACCAACCTGGGCAGCAGAATGAGTTTAAGGTCAGTCTGGACAACTTGGTAAGACCCTAGAAGGAAAGGAAGAAGAAGGGGAGGGAGGAGGATGGAGAGAGATGGAGACTGAACACATGCTAAGGCTACAGCTTAGTGATAGAGCATGTGCTTAGCTTGCGAAAGAGCCTACTCCAAATCTCCAGCACTATGGCTAAGTGTGTGTGTGGATGCACTCACACACATGTGTGCATGTGTGTGTGTATAAATGAGAGCATGGAGAGTGAGTGGACTTGATTTGGGTACCATTTTCTCCCCCTTTAAAGATTTGTTTATTTTCTGTGTGTGGCTATTCTGCCAACATATGTGAATGTTCACATGAATCCTCTGGAACTGGAGTTACAGATTTTTGTGAGCCATGTGGGTACTGGGAATCAAACCTGGGTCCTCTGGAAGAGCAGGTAGTGCTCCTAACCATTTATCTCTCCATTCTCTTCATAATACTTTTGAAATATTAAAATTATACACAGAACATTCGTCAGTAGTTTCCAGGATTGAGGCAGAGAGTGGAAAGCAATACCTGTAGCTTTGCAAGGGTGGTGTGGGGATTTGAAAGAAAATAGTCTCCAAAGGGAGTAGCAGTATTAGGAGGCATGGCCTTGTTGGAGGAAGTGTGTCGCTGTGGGGCGGGCTTTGAGGTCTCTTTTGTTCAAGCTTTGCTAAGTGTGACACTCAGACTACTTCCTGTTGCCTGCAAGACATAGGACTCTTCAGGTATTTCTCCAGCACCATGTCTGCCCACACACTGCCATGTCCCACCATGGTGATAATGAATTGAACCTCTGCCCTGTAAGTGAGCCACCCCAATTAAATATTTTCTTTAATAAGAGTTGCTTTGACTACAGTGTCTCTTTTTAGTTAGAAACCTTACCTAAAACAGGTAGTGTGGAATTCTCTGGGCTGGCACAGTTTTGCATCTAGAATGAAGATCGTTCACATGATGTCTAGGTGTGAACTCAAAATAACAGAGCCAACTTGAAATGGTACAAGTCTTTAAACCGTTAAAGCCAATCTCTAGTGACATACCTTCTCCAACAAGGTCACACCTCTTTCCCCCAAACAGTACCACCAACAGAAGACCTAGTATTCAGATGTCTATGGGGGAACATCTCACTTAAACCACTACACAGATTAAACAAAAATAAAAAAAGATGTATCATTGAGAGGAAGTAAAGTACTTGATCTTTCGAAGTTTCTGTCTCTCTTCTCAGAACCACAGGCTCACATCTACTTCACATGTGATCCACCACTGTGTTGTACAATTAGCTTTTGTATGAGTTTTGTGACATTATTTCAAGGCCACATGTTTGAGGCAAGATGTCAATTTAATTTTCCCACTTAGAAATATTATTTCTGAGACCTCATTATTAAAAAATGTAAAGATTTATTTTCCTTTTTATTTTTATTTATATCTATTTGTGTGTCTGTGTGTGGGTGTGTGCACATGAGTATATGTACCCTTGGAAGTCAGAAGAAGGTGTGGGATACCCTGAAGCTAGAATTACAGAATTACCGGCAGTATGAGCCACCCAACATGGGTGCTGGGAACTGAATTTGTGGTGCCTAGAAGAGAAGTAAGTATTCTGAACTGCTGATCCATCCCTCTCTATCTAACAACAATTAAAGAAAAGGAGGCCATGAAATGAAAGAGAGCAAGGAGAGAGGAGCACATGGCAGAAAAGGAAAGGCAGATGGTGCAGTTATCATCACAAAAAATAAAACTTATAAAAATATGTGCATATATCAGTATTTGTGTGTGTGTGTGGGGTCAGTGACAAATCACAAGATTCCGTGTCCTCCTGCCTTGTGAATCTCAGTCAGGTTGGGTAGCAAGGCTTTTTGACCTGCCGAGTCGTCCTGGAGGCCGCTAGCTTACCTGTGGATACTTGTCCCTATGATTGGAGATATCACAGACTGAGTATGAACTCTCAGGCAAAATTTCTAACTGGAAAGAAAAGGAATCAAAGAACAGGATCAACCCAGCTTTCCAGAAACTCAGTTTCCTGCAGACCTGGAAAAATGAAAGCATTTATTGAGTTGTTGCAGGGGTAAGGTTTATTAGTCATGAGAATTTTTTTTCCTCTCCCACCCCCCCCACTCCGGGAAATTTCTTATGATTTAAAGAGATTTTCCCATTTAAGATGCAGATTAATGGGCTGGTTGTTCCCAGATACATCCCAATATTACCCTGTATGTGGTGGATTCTTGTCTTGTGGTAAGAAGAGACTAAATGACAGGTACTAGGGAAGGGGAACTCATTGGGTGACAGGTTCCTGGGATTAAAGGTGTGAGAATCTGTTGTCTCCTGTTCCATGTGTGTTATCCTGTTGTGGTACCTCCTCTTCTGTCATAGACTGGCTTCTCTCTTCCCTGGAAACTCAGCAAGCCTTGGAAGATCTCGTTTTTACTTCTTTGTTGTGAGAACGTCACTATTATGGGATTTCACATGCTTTTATTAATTTAAGTCATGTTCGCTAGAACAATTCTCCAGAAACTTCCTGAGAGAGAGGACGTGGGACATAAAATGTTTGGAGTCATGTAAATGTCCCCCTCGTTTAGGGTTGGTGAGGAGTCTCGGTGGTGAAGGTGCTTGCTCCCAGGCCCGAGTTTGACGCCGGGGTCTCACAGGGCAGGACGGGGAGGGGGGGTGCAGGGAGGGGGGCACTGACTCTGCAAGATGTCCTTTGACCTCCACATGCACACCACACCATCTGCCCCTCCTGGATAAACAAAGGTAATGAAAATGTCTATGTGCGTGTTGTCAGTTGTCTGGCTAGATGTAGACATCTAGATGTGTCTGTGACTCACCGTGTCTGCTTCAGAGGATGATGTCACGAGTTCAAGGAGTGACTGAGTAACTGAGCTCTAAGCTTGACTGCGCAACGTAGTGAGCAAAACAAGGAGTGAAGAGGTAACAAGGAACTGCCTCCCACGCAAGTCCTAAGGCCCAGGCTCCACCTCCAGGACTCCATTAGACTATCCACGTCGGATAGACAGAACAAGCTTACCTTGTCGTGGGGCATTTGATGGGCCGTCCCATCAGGAGATCTGAAGTCTTCGTTCTGCTGAACTCTCTGTCTCCTTCCTGTCATTTCCACCTTTTCTTTCCCAGTATGCCCCAGGGTGTGAGAGCATGTCTTCTACCATACTTTATAAAAGGGTTTTATCATCTCCGATTTTCTATTCCCCACACATTTTCTAGGAGATTTCTTCAACTTTGTTTCGTAACTTCAAAAAAAAAAATTCTGTCACTAAAACATTGAAGAATTTTTTCTCTTCTTTTACCTGCGGAAGGAGTTTATTGTAATAAAATAAAAACAAAACTTCAAGTTTCTATGTTGTATTTGTCACCCCCCCCCCCAAGCACCTTAGGTCCTCTCAGACCTCCTATTATATTTATTTTTTCTTTATTGTAGAAATATTTTACAAGTACCTGATTTTCCTTGGTTGTTATTCATGCTTAAGATTAGAAACTAAAACTGATCCTGAATGCTGTGTAGCCTAGAGATTCTTCGAGATTAAAACAAGACCCAGCTATTTGTTTGGAATAACTCAAATGTCAGTGTCTGTTGTTACTATGGTACCATTTTCCAGAGATGGGACAGTTTCGCCTTTTCCTGAAGAAGCACCAGGTCTGCAAGGCTGCGGAGCACACGATCTGGGATTTGTGCTCTGTACCGACATTTCCGTCTCACTCTGACTTTTCCCTTCCAAAGTTCCTACCCTTTAATTCCTGATCTTCCGTCTTCCTCTTAGATCTGCCGCCAGTTTTCACATACACTGCAGCCAGTGTTTCTAAACTGTCTGTCCATCAACCGGGCGCTAGAGGACACTTTCTGGAAATAGAGCCTGAGTTGTGAGTTCCGGCGTGACGCGGAGGAATGGTTCTGAGCCAGACCTGAGCTTGCAGGATCTCTGAGATTTCTAACTCCGCTGCACTCTAGAAGGGCGGGGCACCCAAGGGCCGATAAACGCTGAATTGCAGATGGGATTGGAAGCAAAAAAAAAAACCTCGAGAGTATTTTTTTTTTTCTGTCTAAGTTCCTGATTAGACAGAGAAAAAGAGTTTAGTTTGCTTTATAGAAATTTGTATTTCTACGTCTGCAAACAAGTGCATACACATTCGTTATCATTGAAAGATTCATTAATTGAAAGTTTGTCGCGGTGTCAGGGTGGCCGAGTGGTCTAAGGCGCCAGACTCAAGCTCAGCTTCCCTGGTTGGGGGTTCTGGTCTCCGCATGGAGGCGTGGGTTCGAATCCCACTCCTGACACAGTGTCTTTTACTCCTGACACAGTGTCTTTTA